GTATTAAGTAATATAATAATATAATGTTATTAAAATTGACAAGCTTTGTCCTTAATATTTATTGTTATTGTCATTTGAACCGATTTTTCCGTTTTAACATATTTCCTATGTATTTGCAAATTGATTACAATGAGAAATGACTATCATTTTAAGTAATTTCAATACTGAGTTTAAGTTTCATTTCATTTAAGTGATTCGTATGTCTGAGTATGTTGGATGTATGTATGTATCACGTAGAACTGCCAACTATTTTCCGGGCCAGGGAGGATAAATAGTAAAAATTGGAGTTGGTCACTGGGTCAAAAAATAATTGATAAATATCAATTTAATTTTAACAACAAGCATACTAATAATTATTTAAAATTCTGTAGATTAATATAATTATAGTTTAAACAACTTAATTGTCCTCATAGCAATGATTTCATAAATTAAGTAAATAATGTTTATTCACATTAAAAGTAATATTCATTTGATTAGAAATTACAAATTAATTGAGAATTTAATGAATTTTAAAAATTATTTGACAATTCCTTTAAGGAGGAGTTTATATTGTTATCCTAAGACCTTCGGAAGAATTTTTTTCAATGGGCTAACAGGAGGACAATCCTTCTAAAGGAAGTCAGTTGGTAGTCCTAGTATGAGGTCATAGTCAACATAATTCTCTTTATATTCAATGATTATCGTGCGATCTGTATCAGTCCGCATAATAATCACAATCGTGATGTGCTTAAAATATTACATTACATAAAATTACTGTAAATCAATAATTTTCAAACATCTTAATTAGTTTATTAAATGGCTTCGGAGGTTGTATATTCATAATTGTTAATAATTTATTTAATTTATAATATATAATTAAAAATATGAGAATAACCCTTTTAACTTATTTGTACATTATTACGAAATGTATTATTTTTTTATAGCTTACGATTAATTAATTAATTAACTAAATAATTCATGACATTTTAAGTGAAATATTCTTACAATTTATAGAATTTACTATGCATAGAGATATACAATATTTTTATTATGAAACGTATTATTTATTTATAAATTTTTAATTTCAGGACACACCACCCAAACGCGAGGTGACCATGCTATTTCTGGGGGAGACGGGTGTAGGAAAGTCCACACTCATCAACGCATTCGTCAATTACATGGCTTACGAGACTGAATGAGGCGGTGACGGGTCAGCCGGTATGCCTCATACCCATGCACTTCTCTCTCCCGACCACACGAGCGATGACTTGCAGGACATAAACGTCACCTTTGGTCCAAAGGACGACAATGAAGACGGTGAATTGACCCAGTCCAAAACGCAACTACCCCAATGCTATAAAGGTCAATTCAGAGATATGGTGATTAGAATTATCGATACCCCGGGTTTTGCCGATACTAGAAACGTTGAGCAGGATGAGATTAATATGAGAAATATATTGGACTTTATTAGCCATTATAGCGATATTGTAGGACAATAGCAATAAATTTACTTGTTTACTTCATGTCAAACAAGTAGGTCATCAAAACTATTTTTAGAGTAACAGGATGTTACTTTTTATATAAAAAGGGATGTCAATTTTTATTGTGTTGTCAGACTTTTGGTAGCTCTCAAACTAAATAGTTGCTACATATTATTGACCAAGCTCCAAATCACCCTAACTATTTGTATTATGTATTAGCCTTATGCCAAAAAATTAATCTAAAGTGACTACTGAAATAAAAATAATTTTGAATCAAAATTTTACGTGCTAAATTAATTATTTTAATATCGAGTAAAGGTAAGTGAGTGTCTCAAACGACCAAGCTCACAATATTCACGCCATATGTATGGTGTTAAAGCCTAACGATGCTACGGAACCGCTGGTATTCAAGTACTGTTTGTATGAGTTGTTGAGTCACTTGAATAAGTCGGCCGCCGATAACATACATTTCCTCTTCACCAACGCTGTTAGTACAGAGTTTACCCAGGGACAAACTGGGCCAGTACTCAGAAAACTATTGAAAGGTGTTATGGAAAATACTCCGTATGTGGACGTTAAGTATAATAAGGACACCTACTATTGCTTTGATAACATTGCTTTTTGTTATCTCTTGGCTACCTTTCCTCCCAATAATATTCCGCTTAATCAGCGATTGAAAGGTGTATACGACTAATACTGGAAAATGTATGCAAAATAAGATATTTAAATCGTAATCATATATTCATTTTAAAATTTATATAACATATGAATCCCAACGTTCAGAAAACGTTGCAAATTATTTTACAATTCACTGAATATTTAACCTAATCGCTGCATTTTTCAAAATAGTAAATTTCAAAGTAGATATGTGATACTATGGTTTCTGCATGTAGGGATTCATATCATTCAATTGTGATTTAATTTTTAATGTTTTTATTTTAAAATCATAAATATATTATAAATAGAATTTTGTTAATTAATATTTTATAAAACAATATTTACTAACTATCAGATGTGTCAAGGAATTTAATCGCCTCCTACAACGCGTCGCCTCCCTTTCCCCTCACAAAGTGTTGGACACCTTACCCGTCAATGACGCCAAAAAATGCATAATTCTATTGACCGAACCCTTGGCAAACATATCGACTAATATCGCCGATAATCTTAATGCCTTCGAAGTGCATAAGCGCCGTATCGATGAGTATGAGGGAGATATCAAGGACCTTCAACCATACCTTTACATACCGTATAAACAAGTGGTGCACACCCTATTGAATTTGCCTAAGACTGTGTGCCGGGACCCTGCGTGCTGTACCAAAGAGAATATAAGGGGCAAGGAAGAAATACTTTAAAAAGTTGACTGCCATAACCCGTGTCACCTAAAGGGCGATGGGCTAACCGAAGTGGGTAATGAAGGTTTACTCGACTGCAGGGCCTTTGTGCAGTACAAAAATAAGGGTGAACTTTGCTTGATGAAACCAGATAATGTAGTGCCGGATAGTAATATTGTAGTAAATGATGAAGGTATTTATTAAGTATATTTCATTTAATTACATGATTATGTTTTATCTAATGTGTACTCTGAGTTTTTGATTGTACGCTAATGATCTAAAATAATTTATTTATTAATTTATCATTCCCATTACCTGTATGTATGAATTTCAGAATATAATTGTTACTTAATAACTGTCAATAATTTCAATTAGGATTGGCATGGTTGTACCCAGATACAGAACGCATAGGATCTAAAACATGCTTGAAGTGTCACCACTCTTACGAAAAACATGTACACACTCAGCACGATACCCGTTTTGAGTACAAAGAGATCAGGGACCAAACCAAACACCAGTGCATCACCACTAAAGAGGAGGCTATTGAAGCCCGTAAGTCACACATCGACGCACTGATGGCCCACATATGGGAATTGAACGGCCAGAAGAAGACGATCACGAGATGTATGGCTGGTTTCACGGGTTTCCTTAAAAATGCCATCTCTACATTTAACGACACCTTCGAGATATATGATCAGCACAAGATCGACGTAGAGAAAGAGGGCGATGCCGTCAGCACTGCCGACAGCCAGGAACTTATCTTAAAAATGGTAAGTATGCTCAAGGATTATAAGATTGAAAAGCAGATTATCCAGGACGCTATTGAAAAATACGGTGCGGATAGTGTCGTGTCGTTGTTGGACATCAATCGGTATCTTCATGAGTTGCGGGACCTTAAGTGGAACGGCCCGGAGATTGAGAAGTTGTTGGCCGATCAGCATAAGTTGAAAGATAAGCCAATGGAAGTCGAATTCGTGGTGCCGGACACCCACGTCACTATCGGCTACTTACAATCGGACAACTTTAGAACAAAGGACAGGGTGGTCACCAACAAACCCACCAATAAGGACAGCGCGGTACCGGACAAATCCTCCATTACTGACAACGTAGACCCGGACAACAATAAAACTATTGACAATGTGGACCAGGATAACCTACCCACTATGGACAATGTGGAGCAGGACAGCCCCACCTCTATGGGCAAAGTAGACCCGGACAGCCTCACAACTATGGACAAGGTGGACCTGGAAAGCCCCACCACTATGGACAAGGTGGACTTGGACAGCCCCACCACTATGGACAATGTGGGCCCTGACAGTCCCACAACTTTGGACAAAGTGGACCTGGACAGTCCCACCACTATTGCCATAGTGAGCCCCGACAACCCCAACAGTACAGACAGGTATGTCAATTATTAATGAGCTTAAACCTTTTATTTAAAGTTAATCAAATATCTTTATAATTTTAGTTTATTAATTTTAATATTGATTATTAATTTCTTTCTATATAAAAGATCCCACAAAACATCGTATAAATATAAGTGTTATAACATAATATAACAGAACTGTACACTTATATTAAACCAAATGTATGTTGGTTCTTTTTTAAAAATAGAATTTGAATTTATTATATTTCTTATACTGTATTAATCAAACTATAAATTATTTTAATTCAAATTCATTTAAATTTAAATAGTATTATTTGATCCTGATTTTAAAATTAAATAAGATTTGATGTACCAGTATATCAAAATATTTTATTTGAATTATTTTAATATTGAGTATTAAAGTTTAACTTAATTTAACTATTGTTATTTTATATAAATGGTTAGGTTTTAATTATATATAATTTAATTATAACAATTATTTTAATCAACACCAAAAAAGTTTAAATTATAATAATTAAAATCAATTAATCAAATTAACTAGTTTATCAAATAACCCTGTTATTATTTAATAAATCTCATGTACTATTATAATAAAAATAACTTGGATGCTACTAAATTTACAATGAAAAATAATTATCAAATAGAAACTTAAATTATCAAATTATCTGCGTGCTTAGCAACATGAATATACTTATAATAAAAAATAATATAAATAGATAAATAATACTTTAAATATAAATAAAGGTTTCATCATTATAAGTGCTATAATAAAAATTAAATTATAGTTTACTAATGTTTATAAAATTTTAATTACATATAATAATGGGTAATGAATTGACAATCAAAAGTAATTCTGGTAAATTTAATGAGCGCAATAAACTAGTACTGGCTGAACTTACTGGATGTGGTAAGTGTACACAAAAATATGATGCCAAAAATAAATTTACTATTTAATAATCAATTAATAATCCCTTATCTAATCATACTAAATTCATTAGCTGTAGGTGCCACCACTATACTATATAAGCTAAAACAGGGCCCATATAATCAACAGTTGATTTTACCCTATTCCACCATTGGATGCGATTTCGGACATGTTGAATATAAAAACACCAAGTTTAATATATGGGACCTTGGTGGTGGTCCGGCTGGTACTATTAATAAGCTTGGTCATTGTACTTGTGGTGGACAGTACTAACAGGAGAGGTATGGGTGCGGCCAGAGAGAGACTTTGGTCAATAGTGATCGCTGATGGGCTCCGGGATGCTGTGATACTGGTATTGGCTAACAAACAGGATTTACCGGATGCTATGACAGTGCAAGAGGTTTCAGAGTGCCTGGATCTTAATAAACTTATTACAAATGAGTGGCACATTCAGGGTACATGTGCTCTGACCGGGGAGGGGTTGTATGAGGGTCTAAGTTGTATGATTTATAGCTATTTTAATAAATATCAAACTTTTAAATATATTTTATAAAATTAAGCATCAATATTGATTTTTTAAACATATTTCAAATTATAAAGAAATAAGTACTAGTTTAAAAACTTTTTATAATTGGTTATGTAATTAAAATATATTTTATTTGGTTAATAAAGTAATATTCATGGGTATTTTACTAAATGCTACTTTAATCTATATTTTCAATAAACATTTTAATACTAGTGTTGTATATAAACTGTTTAAATGGCAAATGCATAGATCACTAGTTGGTTTCTGGAAACTATATTTGTGTGTAAGGTGCTAAACATAGAATATAGCTTTTTCCCTCTCCCTCTCCCTGTTATACCTGTCCAGCACTTTCTCCAACTTTTGCACCGTAGGTCGACTGTCCTTTTCGGCTACATTTCCGCCCCTTTTTTCGTTTTCTATCAAATGCTTGACATAATCGCCGAACGCGTCGTTGAAAGGATTGTTGTAATAAATGTTTATTATATAAATTATTTTATTAAAATAGAATTATTACACTATTTTTGTGTGATTGCTGTAAAACCTTAAACATTATACAGTATATAAATATTACAGTATTTGATAAGCAATAATAAAATTTTTTATACTTATGCTTGAAAGCCGATAGCTACGTTATATTAGATTAGATAAACATTATTTCAAGTGAGCCGTTTCGTGCAGAAGTAACACACTTGTTTCTAGTATGAATATTTTAAATATTTAAAAAAAATAAAACAATTACTTTTCATTTTAATAAATATATTCATATTATATAAACTATTAAAATTAATGTTATTAAAAGTAAAACTATATTTGTAAAATTATTTATATTATTTTAATTAGTTTTAAGAGTAATAAGCAATGTTCGATACTATTAATGCATTGATTCTGTTATATTTACAGTTTTCACTACAAAATAAAAGTCTGTCAAAACATAAAGTCAACCAAGTGTTGTATCATTAATATAATAAATTGTAATATAATTTGTCTGTGAAATGTTTGCTTTTATAAATACACTAGCATAATTATTTCTATACATATTTCTATAGTTTACAAGATATTTTTAAAATTTGAATATAATTATGGGCAATCTATTGGCAAGGGCAAACGTTGTGAAAAATGAGCCGGTTCAGCTAATAAAACGTAATAAACTAATTCTAACTGGACTAAGTGCGCATGGTAAGTTTATATACAATTTAAAATGATTATCAGAGAATAAATAAATAAATATTTGGATCCATCAGGAATTATTTAAGATATCTAATAAATGATAAAATTAATCACTGACATGATTATTTTAAAATTCTAGCTGTAGGTGCAACTACCATATTTTATAAACTAAAACAGGGACCACATATTCAACAACCCATTAAAACTCCGCCAACGATTGGGTTAGATTTTGAACATGTTGAATATAATAACGTAGGTTTTATTATATTTGACCTTGGTGGTGGCCTGGGTGGTATGATTAATAGGCTGGATCACTGTAAAAGGTATTTTACCGGCGCAATTGGACTGATGCTTGTGGTGGACAGTAGTAGCCGGGAAAGTATGGGTGCCGCTCGAGAGAGACCTTGGTCAATACTGACCGCTGAGGAGCTCCGGGATGCTGTGGTACTGGTGTTGGCCAACAAACAAGATTTACCGGATGTTATGACAGTGCATGAGGTATCAGAGTGTCTGTATCTTGATAAACTTACTACACACATGTGGCATATTCAGGGTACATGTGCTCTGACCGGTGAGGGCTTATATGAGGGACTTGACTGGATAATTGATACCTGTGCTCATTCTAATAAGCAAGATTAATTATGTAATTTAATACGTTTATTATAAGAACAATTAAAATTATTTTTTATAAATATTTGAATTAATGATGATCAGCTAGTGGACAACACAAAATTTTCATGTAAGTGCAAATAAATTGAAATTAATAATAAAATTTGATTGGCCAGTTCAGTACAGACTTATTTAGTTTATAAAAATTAAAATGAACTCGGTTATTTATAGACGCGAGCGTATTCAACCGAAGCTGATCTCTCATACGAGCGTCTGTCAAATTTAATATCGTTTAACTTATTTATGTATAACTTTACGATTGCATAAAATTTGTATTTTTATATAAATAAAATAATTTATAGTATAAACAAAATATAGAGTTAACTTATATGAATCAAACTTCAAAGATAAGCATAATATGCACATTATATAATATACATATTATGTACAGTAAAAAATTATTGCTTGTATGAACACAATCAATAATGACTAAACTCCTTTGCAAATTGTATAATAAATGTGAAAACCAATGCATTACTAAGTTTCAGACATATGGCTCTCTTTGAAGTTTTAAATCATATATTTTTTAATTGAAAATAGTTTAACACAACAATAAGTAAGATTTATTTCTGTTTATGTTCAACATTTTATGCCAAACAGTATAATATTATCACAACAAAAAATCTTTAACACCAATTACATTAATAGCTTATCTGATTAATATTAACAGCATCTTATTTAAACATTATTTGTGCCATGGTGATAACTAGAGTATTAGGGTGTAGGCAAAACAGTGGTGGCGGTACAGGCGCCCACACACGCCGTGTACGTCACTGTACAGGCAATTCCAGCGGCCGGTGCGGCGGCCCCGACGGTGACGGTGGTAGCGGCCACACCACAGGCGGCGCACCCGCCCAACGCTATTTGACATCCGGCGATGCACAGGGAAGCCGCAATGGGACCGCTCTCTACATGGTTTGGAGTGCCGGCCAGGAGCAAACTGACCAGGGTTACCATCATATATCCACTTACAGTCTTCATTGTTTACAAATCTAATGCATAATAATATTGATATTATAAAAAAATTTAAAAAAGATTTAAGTTTTATAAAATACTTATGGAAATACTTTAGTTGGACCTAGGTTACTTACAAGTTTTGTTAGAAGCTTTTTTACAATTGCGTTGAAGGATTTGTTATTTAATTGTCAGTTAATTTTGAACATTAATAAGTAATGCATCTCCTAAACAGTAACTCCTAGTAACAGTCCTAGAGCATGTCAAAGTTGGCAATTTTACATTGAATATTGCCATTGAAAAAAGTAGACAACAATAAAGTAATACAAATCCATTTTCAATGGCAATATTCAATGTAAAATTGCCAACTTTGACATGCTCTAGGACTGTTATCGTGATAGATATTTGAAAAATTTAAAATGCAAACCTTGTTTATTTTTTGAGTTCTATTCAACGCGACA